AAATTACTCGAGATGCAGCATCTGGCAATGATTAGTGGCCATTAATTGGTGTTAACTGGTGCTACTAGTGTTTACAGAGTTGAAGGATAATTAGCCGGGGGTCAACTCAGGGCTGAAATTAACATGTCAGAACTCTGCAGCTGTCTCGTGACAACCAGGCGAGGTAATGGCGGGGTGTACCAAATTTAGTTGGCAGGGTAGCGTAGGTTTACGCATGTGTGTGTGTGTGCTACGTGGATTGTTGCGGGTATTTTACAGAGCGTGCGTCCGTGAGTGGGTGCTTATGTGTCGGTCCTGGTGTGGATCACCCACATGTGTCAAAGTGATAACAAAAAAAAAATGAAGCGCCCCAAGAATAGCTCTCAGCGGAGGCCCGATTTGAATTGGCGAGGTAACCAGGGAAAAGGGAAATACTCTCACCCAGCCAGCCTGTCTGCAGTGCGTCCATCGGGGGGAACCAATAGCAGACATCCAGCTGCACCACCTGAATAAACAGTGGAAGTCGGTGTGGGCAGCCGCCACACACAGCTGGGAGACAGGCAGGCCCTGTGTTTGGGAGAAGGAAGTATATGCTGCTCTCTGGGTTGACCTCCCTTTCCTATCCAAAAGGGGAGTCTTTCTCGTTTAGCTAACGGTAAACGAGAGGGACGGGAATAACAAGGCAGCACATTCATCACAGCGCGCGTGGAGCCCTGGAGGACGAGCCGCCACTTAGCAGAAGCTAACTGGAATTTAGAAAACGAAGCCGCACGCCAACGCCATTGTTGAAGTTACCGAAGGTGAAGTTAATGGTAAAAAAGGCTATTTGACAATGCACATAATGACGTGTTTAATATTATACTAAAGGACTACGGCTAAAGGCTGATATTTTAACAAACGGGATACCCTATTTTTGTCATTTTGTCATTTTGTGCTGCCAAAGAAAAGTCATTTGCCCAAACCGATCAAGTAAACTAGGTGAAGTGTGCATTTTCTGTGTATATGTTTTTGTGTTTGCTGTTCTTTTTTTTTTTTTTCTTCACATTCTTCTATCCCGTTCTTCTATTTTTACAACTGCTCAAGATCCCAACGGGACGTCTGACAGCCCCGAACCCTCCTCACACACTGGAGGATAACTCCCAACCGTCAGAGTGCTTCCATACAGGATAATGACTGGAGCGCAACGGGGCTAAATTTATTGTTTGATAACTTATCTCTCGAGGTCTCTGGGTCTTTTTTCTTCTTGCACGCGCACAAAATTCATTTCGCCTGTGCTGATGCAGTTCCCCCGTCAGTGGGAGATAGAGAGGGGGAGAGAATTCACCGCGCACTGCAGGCATAAGCGGGAAAAACCTAGATAAGAATACTCAAAAGAAGGAAGAATTGTGTCTTCGGCAAACTGACGAACTGACTGAGGATGGAAATGAAAAGAGATCTTCTAGAATTCACTTTGCAAAATGTAGAGCAGAGTGTGTTTCTGTGTTTCCTGACACTATGTATTAGGGTCTGCGTCGAAGGACAGTGAATTGTAGAACATTTCAGTTTGATTATGAAGCATCACGTATCTATTACATCAGACTTTGAAATTCATGTCTGCTGCTGCAACCCACAGCTGTAAACAAATGAATGTTGCATGAAATGAAGCAGAATAAACTTTTATTAAATCATTAAAGTTGCTGGAGTTGCTCGAGGGGCTCTGCATACTTATTTACCCCCCCCCCCTCCTCTCCCTCTCCACCGCCCATTTAGATCATAAAACTACAATTCACAAGCCATTCATTTCATGCACAGTGCGACTTAAATAAACCTCTCAGATCTCTGTGGTTATACAGTGTTCAGGGTCCTTGGGCCCTTTTGGTAAACCAAGTCTATTATGTACATTTGACAACCTGTTTATGTCATTATTACAGATTATGGTTTGAATCTGTTGGAATGCTTTGTTCCAATGCTGTTTATCACTACTAAACATTTAGTCATGTAAAGACAAGAAAATGCAGAACGACAGTCTTGCTGTTTACGGCTGGAACTCGGTTGGAAAATTAATCAGTCTCCCTGATGATGACTGAAAATTGCCGAAGATTATGTTGACACGTCTTCATTGCTGCGTGTAGGAGGAGGCGATGGCAGCCGAGCAGCCATTTAGCCCGCCAATAGCCCCAGGGGATTCTTCTCCTCCAGCATTCTTCTTAATGTCTCGCAATTAAAGGCCGTCTAACTGCCTGAGAGAAGGAGTGATGGAAAAAGAGAGAGAGAGAGAGAGAGAGAGAGGGGGGAATGGAGAGGGACTGAGTGTTGTTTAATGAGAGAGAGGCAAAATATTTGAGAAAAACACATAACGACAGAAGTAGATCTCAAAAACTACACGATCATGTAAGGAAACCTGCCAAGGCAGAACTGTGGTCGACGCTCTCTCTCTCTGGTCATTTATTAAAACAGCAGCCATTTGTACAGTTAGAACTTTCTGTAATCTACCAAGAGGTACTCGATCATTGGTGAAAACTTTCCCGCTGACGGGCCCTGAGGGAAACCCTCTCATCTCCTCTCAAGTCTTATCTATACACTACAGTGATGTGCACAGTCCGTGCGCTGCAACTGTTCATTAGGCAAATCCATCCTGCCTAGTTTTCATTTACACTAGCAGTTGATGCTAATGCATTCCATATCTATCACTCTGACAGGCACAGCACGATGGTTTGTTTCACTCAACGGGAGAAATTAATCACACACATTTAGTATAACAAGAGAGTATTTGAGCTCTGCATTAACTAGGCTTGTGCTGGTTTTGATGGTCATGTTAAAATAACATATTCAGTATTATGTTTATTGAACAGTATTAAGTTAACTGTCTTGTACTTGAACATATCTTGTTTACATTTGCTAAATGTATAGTATGGCATGCTATTGGCCTTAATCGAGGTGTTACAGTCATGAAAGCCTTCAATGTGAATGTGGAGCACCGGTTCCCAGCAATATCTATGTGAATAAAATGATCACCATAGAATAAATGTTAAAGTGCTCACAATCAATAACATCTTAGGTTATATTTAGAAGCTGACAAATAAGAATAATAATCCAAAAGAAACCCCCCATGGCAACAAATATAAGTAGAAATGTTTTGAGGAAGATAAGCAACCCGAGCTTTAATATAAAGTATAGCATAATGCAGGCACATTACAGGCAATTTACATGGATTAGCTACTGCGGGGCTGCATGCAAGAAGCATGCTCATGGGAGAGTGGAAAATTATTTAAAACTTCAATAAGTCACAGCGGCGGCAAGTCAACCCATAACGCCGGGGGCAGGAAGAAGGCCGAGGGTGGTACTTTTCTACACAAAGTAAACAAAGAGGAATGAGATTGTGTTGTGTTTAATGAGGTCGTCTATAGCTGCTTTTATTTGTCACAGCATTATGCTACTATCCTCAACAAGGATACGCATGTCGTTTGTTGTGATTTGACAAGGCAGGAATGACTTGTGGCCAATAGGTCAAACCGATGTGACTCTTTCATTAATAGCGTTTCACCCCTGAAATAATGTGTCAATTGTTGGACACATCTTTACATGTAACATTCAAAAAGGCCTTTGTGGTAATGGAGACTTTCTTCTGTATAATCTGTTTACATTGTGTTTTTTGTAGATGGAATATGTCAATGTAAGAGCGCCCTATCTGGAAACGGGAAGGCACGTCGACTGATGACGCTTTGTCTGAGGGGTCCGTCCCACCCTCCTGCTATTGGTCGACCTGACCAATGCCCGCGTCTGATTGGAGAAACCGACTGTCTGTTTACGGTGTCAACGTGCAAACCAGGAAGTCGGAATGGAAAGAGTGGCGCGTTGGCATTCTGGGGAAATTTCGATCAAAGTACAATAAAAACAGACAATTCAGACAGAGCTCGAATAAGCGACATATTCTCTCGGTGAGTAGGAGCACTGTAAGTATCTTCGTCAGTGCATTAAAGCTGCCTGGTGTCGATTGCATTTAACGTTACACCTTAATATTTAACGTCTTGTGCAGTTGAGCGTTGAGTCGACTAGTTTGTCCAGCAGCTAACAAACTGCATGGAGGTCTGCAAAGAGTCTTCGTGTGTTCGTGTCTGCGGAGAGAACAAATCCTGGGAATGTTCTACGAAACACACACGTCTGAATCCCAGAGACCACAATGACTCACAACTGCGCGGTGTGGCATCGACAGCGAGTTCCATGTATAAAAGATGTGTAGCAGACTCCCATTGTTATCAAGGAGAGTTGGATAATAACACCTTCAGCATAAGGGAACATTGCAAACCAGCATGATGCTCTAATTAATCAAAGGACTGCACTACTTATTAAGAAAATACATCCGACTTTGGCAATTGGCAACTAATTCCCAGTTTATACTCTTTTTAAATTTAGTTTTCAAATTGTATTTCCTGGACTTAAATTTTAACATTTTGTATACGCAAGACAAAAAAAGTCACCCTTAATTTGACTTCGACTTGCAAATTCTCCTGTACCAGGACTAATAACTAGCGAAACAAACTACGGTTAATGACTAGAACGTAGTATCAGCGATGTCATCTCTGCATATTATGTGCAAATATGAACGAGAACATATCATTTTATCATCACCAGCAATGCTGCTGTCAGTATGCCGCGATATGTCCTTCAGCAGCGTCTTGCTATTTATTTGTTCCTTCACTGTTACAAATGCAAAATATACCGTAAGTTGAGAAATGACCACAGGGGACGACACGGGCTCCAAATGTGTTGCTTATGGCAATTTAGATGAAATACTACTGCTGTTGCCGCACACTGCAACGTAGCCTGCTGCGTCTGAGTGTAAACACGGCATGCGGATAATTTCCTCCCGTCCCTTTGTCCTCCTCTCATGTCCTCCTAATTAGCTGACTGTGTTCTCCACTCGCTGGAGAACAATAGCACGCGGACTCCGTCCCTGCTGGCACGGACATCGTTTGAAATGTAGCTGAAAACCCCCCGTTTTTATTGTACGGCAGAATCCAGGTCTCTCAAGTCGTCGGCCTCCCAGGAGAAGGCATCAGGCAGCGCGAGCAGCCGGCCACGCTCCTTGAACATGCAGATTCTTTCCTCTGTTCCTCCGCTTCGCCGCTGCAATCTTCACCACTCCGGTTCTCATTGGATGCACATAGATACTTTTCCCCCTTTTTGTATGGTCCCGTTATTTTCTCCCCTGTGCGCAATAGCCTGCACGTTTCCCTCAGCTATCAGACTTACAAACACTAGAGCAACGTTGGCCTGAGGGTGATGGATATTGAGTTTTAATGGTCAAAAAATATCGGGCATATGTTTTAAATTGTGCTCAAATATTTCAGCCGCAGAACAGGTCAGAAAGATTTGAATATCATCCCAAAAAAAAAAGCCCGGGCCCGCCCATCAGTTCATACTTGCTTTTTCCACTATTTGAAACAAAAGGCTGCACTATTGATCGATGCCGTGTGTTGTGAGGGAGTCTGTCTGGAATGTTAAGCTCACTGAGAAACAAGCGTGTTGGATGGATTCATGAAACGCACGCATTGCATTTTTGCCCTTTGAGGATTATACACGAGCACGAGTTATTTCAGGTAAATGTACATCTGTGGTGATTGTAAAGCGCCGTAGACTGACAATGATTCTGTCACACATCTTGCATGATACATGTAGGGCATAAGTATACTATTTGTATTACTCCCCGGCTCTTTCACTTTTTAGCTTCCCCGGTAGCCGGCTAATCAAAGGGAGCTCATAGTGTGAAGGGAGATAGTGTTCGACTAAATGAGATGGATAGGAAGTGTGCACACTGTGAATGTAACACGCATGGAAGGTGGTTAGAATTAATTGAATTATGTGTAGCAGATGTATGTGAAAGATAAACCATCTGCCTGATCAAAACTGACTACTCTTCTCTATATATGGCTGCGTATTAACTTAAATCCCTCCTGCAGATTTCACACGTTGTCTGGAGCTCCAGCTGCAGGAGCGAAGCTTTATCTGTATTTGATTAAGCTAAATGATCAGGTGTTACATTGAAACCCAGCTGTGAGCTTCTCTCACTCAAAAGGTGTTTTGGATTCTGCTCGTTTCTACTCAGGCGGAGGAAGGAGAATGGGGAAGAATGACGCCTGTGGGACCAGATTACCAGTTGACCAGTACCGAAAACAGATTGGTGAGTCTTCATTCATCCCATTGGGGTCCATCCATTTGTCCATTTTATGTTTTCAGTTGATTTTATATTTTGAAATTAGTTAAAACACGAGAGTATTTCTTTGTAGCATGAAATGCGTTATTCTCATTAATATAGTCTTTTGTATACTAAATAATTTTAAAGTTTAAAAGTTCAAAAAAAGTCTATAAATGAGCTCAATGATGCTCTCTGACAGTTTAGACTTGCTTTGTATCTCCGTTTAAACAAACCTCATTACTTATTACTTGATGTGGACAGTTGTACCACAACACAGAAATCAACTCTGTCTTCTCTCATAGGAGCAAAATAACGTCACAATCAATAAATCACACATCATACTGTGGTGCATTGAGCCTTGTTAGTTTCACATAGATCCCAAACTGCCTCGAAGGTCAACCTTTGGTTATGCAGAAATCAGCTTAATAAAACTTCAAATTTGTACTGTAACAAACACACTTCAAACCAGACTCAGTGGAGTAGAACCAGTGTACAGGCAACTAATTCCACTTTGAGACGAGCGTCCACGGTCACAGAAGTGACGAGACGGTACAAAGCCGCTCCTTTTGATATCGTGTCAGAAGCTGCTCTGTCAAAGTTTAATATCACTCTAATCCTGCAGTATTTTGTTTCCCCATCCTTCCCTTTAACATCACAGAGGCCTAACAAAGGCCATATGGTTGGCATCAATCAAAAGTTTGGTCCCCCTCTAGCATGCCAGCTGTGGTTCCTTGAAGATCACAGCTCGTATCGTGTCTTTTTTTGTTTTTGTTTTCCTATTGTGGAGCAAAACCGAAAGGTCGCCGAAAGCAGTTCTGCATAATTGTACGCAGCAATCTGTCGTCATACTTGCTTCAAACCCCAGGAGTGGTATGCATTGTGTACATGAGGTGTTGCGTAGTGGCCTTATTTGATTGGAGAAGGAGTGATACTCACTCGACTCCTCTATAGGAACATATACGAGTCGCGACCCAAGTGACTCTCCGCGACCCTCGCGGGCCGAGAACACTTCACGATCACATCCAGCGGCCCCGTTGCATCAAATTTTCCAACTTCTTCTGAAGGTGCTTGTGGTTTTCTTTGATCACTCGTCCAAAGTTGACATTAATTGGGAGGATTCTGACGCCGTACCTCCCTCCCGCCTTAGATGTGGTGCTGCGCACAAATGAGCTTCTCCTGGAGGTTCTGGGAGCCTTGAAGTTGTTTTTCTCGACTAGTGGAAATGTGGACACCGTGTTGAATGGAGATGGATTTTCATCACACTACGTTTCCTCCCTGTGAATGTTTGATCTTTTCTTTGGTCATTTTTCAGTGAAGATGTTCTGTAATCCACGTCCGGTGTCCTGGAGGTTGTGTCAACTCCAGCGTCGTTGTCCTCCCATTCCTCCAAATTTGCTGATTGTTTGATGGCTCCTTGTAATTCACATCTCCCATTGTTGGTTGGAGTCACGACAGTTTTTTGATTTGGAGAAGTCGACTATCTGGCAGCAGTGGCGGTATTTGTCTCTCTCAGGCATGTGATAGTTTGTTCAGAAAAGTCTACTCCACAATGGCCGGGGTCTCATAAAGCAGAGTGATGTAAGTGTGTAAGTTCCCGTAGTGGGACAAAAGAATAGATTATGATATTATAATTCATCTCTTAGCTCGCTGTTACCGTGTATCAGCTGTGCAAAGACGCGCTCGCCCATCACGTTGGGGCACGGAATGTTTTTTTATACATTTATTTTTCCTCCCTCTGCAGTGTTTTGTTTATCCTCAACTCAGCAAATATATAACACCGGCCTCTGGGACACTCGTCCTCTCTCTACCTTCCAGCTTTCTACCGTTAATCACATTCATTTTTATTTTTAAAGAAAGGCTTATTCATTCAACTTGAGCAGTCGTTGAGCCATCATCTCTGCTGGAGGGCTTTAGTCATGGTGGTCAGTCAGGGGGCCGCTGTTGACACTCTCTTTTTAAATACCATTATTATGCCTATAATAGTTGGAGGCAGAGCTCTAGTGTTCTCACAGTGGTCACTCGGTTTGAGTGATGATTGCGGCGGCCTGCTGAACAAAGTAGGGAAAACTGTCCACAGATTTCATATTGTAAAGGAGTTCAAACATGTTCTTTGCGAATAAAAGTGAAAAGGGCGATGGGAAGGCGAGAGATTGCAGTCACATTTGTAGGCAGGCGTCAGTACATCACAAGGCACAACACTCAAAAGTAGTTGGTTACAAAGACAGAAAATGTGAGGACTCTCCTCGCTGCACGAAATTCCTCGCACGCATCAGCCCTCCATCCCGGCGGATGCCAGCGATCCGCACCGCGTGGTCACTGACTGCTGGGCCGCCACGCAAACACGGAAGCCAAAGCGCCAGGAGCTCTCGGACACGCTGTCAGCATGAGGCCGTCATCCCCCCCCCACCGGGCTGTCAGAAACCACTGGACGGTGTCTGTCTGTCCACATCAGCCCGTTGCTCTGCCTGTGGTGCGTAATTCCCCACAGAAACTCCGTTTGCAGCTTTGGCCGAGCGTCATTTTGCCCTCGCGCCGATTTGTGCACAGCGGCTTTTAAACAGAGCGCATTCACAGTCTACAAACACCAATGAATGCTACTGTCACATTTTGTTTGAAAAATGTAATTCACTATGGTGACACACAAATCCTGAAGCTTTTTTTTGTGTGTTACGGCCTGAGGTCGCACACTGGCCTCCGACAGGGTTTTTCCATGATTGAAACGTGGCAAATTAAATACAGTCCTATTGATGAAAAGGACCATTGGAGGTAATTACTAGGTGCTTTTTCTTTTACTTGTTGAGTCTGCATTGAAAGCTTGACACACAGATGTATTTACCACATGTCGCATGGCTTAAATGTAGTAAGCATCTGTATAAAGTCTGTGTAATGAGGCAACATTCAATCTAGCAAGACGTGATTTACTTTTCAGCCCAAATAAATGTATTGAATCCTGACGTGACATTAAACCGTCAATGATGGCTGCCTGCCCACCAAAGCATTTCAAATATTCAGGTTTTGGTTTTCAAATGACAAAACATACACAATTACAATTAAAATTGTATTTGTATCCAACATTATTAGTGATTAGTTTGTTGACTTCTATTGCTGACAACACTTCAGGAACTACTTGTTAAAAATGAATTATCAGCTTATTACTTAGTTCCTACTTGTATGAACAGTAGCGTGAAATGCAAACATTTATTCTGAACAAAGCGGGGATCTCAAATTAGATATTTAATATGGATTTATTAATTATTCTGTCTTCAATATAAAAGATATGAAAGAACAGCGGTCAGTAATTCATCATCCACTCTTTTGGTTCCCTCTGCACAACTTTGAAGTGCTATACTTTGGTTGTTCAGGTCAGCAGGAGCGCATTCAGCGCAACATCTTTACAAAGGTTATTCTCACTTTAAACTTTGTTTTTCTTTTCAGTCCCACAAACTGACACATCGATGTCGACCCCTCCGCTAGCTTCACGTAAATAGCCAATTTGTGTGACACACGACCCCCTCCCACCTTTTGAGTGCTCAATCACCTGTGTGGTTCATTTTAGATGATGCCCCCCACCTCTCGTTATGCTAAACAGTACAATAGCTCCAGATTAAAAAATCAAATCAAACAACATGCACAAGCAAATGCAATGACAAATATGCAATAGGAAAACCCTGAAACCTGCATCAAAGGGTGTGTGTGTGTGTGTGTGTGTGTGTGTGTGTGTGTGTGTGTGTGTGTGTGTGTGTGTGTGTGTGTGTGTGTGTGTGTGTGTGTGTGTGTGTGTGTGTGGGCATTTTTTGTTTTTCTCTTGTCCTCTTGACATGAAAACCGCGATGACTTCAATGAAAGGCACACTGAGTGAAGCCCCTCAGGAGGCCCTCCAGGCCCCCTCGCCAGGGCTAATGTTCCTCCGAGACACGGACAGTGGGGCCGTTTCAGTGCGGCGGTCACAAGTGTAGACGGGTGGGAGGCCGGCGCGCAGCGGCGGTAAATAAACAAAGTGTCTACAGAGCCTGTACAGCAGAGGGAACAGCGACCGCCGATTTGAGCGCTCAAAGGCTGGATGCAATATCATCAGGGCTCTGTGTGTGTGTGTGTGTGTGTGTGTGTGTGTGTGTGTGTGTGTGTGTGTGTGTGTGTGTGTGTGTGTGTGTGTGTGTGTGTGTGTGTGTGTGTGTGTGTCCCAGACCCATGCAAAGGAACCACAAGAGGCTTTACACCATGTCAATTCATTCAGAACACCCTGTAACAAAATAGAAAGTACAGATTGTCCAATTTTAAATCAAAGTGAACAACTTTATTTCCATAACTGGATACAGGAGAAGTTGCACGAGTTCTACAATTGTTCAGAGGGTGACTTGTTAATGAAGACCACCAGATATGAATAATAAAGTATTGTTATTCTGTTCATCAAGAAAATGTTTGTATTAAAAACACACTGGCATATACAATAGTGTGATGCTTTAGCATTACATAATAACTTTACTCTGATTTGCTCACAGTGGTGAATCAAACACGTGTACAAACTTTGGTTGAATTTGCAAATCTTCTTATTCCCGAGAACAAATGAGTAGAAAATCCACATGTACCGAGAAAGTTCTGTTGTGGCTGACGGAACACGCCTGGCTGGTGGTTCGCCTGCAAGCAACAGCAGACTGATTCAATGATTCACAATATTCATTTTATTTTAAAGATTTCATATATAATACTTATGTGTTTATGATATTATTTAATATTGGTTAAAGGCCCCTGGACTAGATGGAATCAATATTGTGTTGTGGCAATCTATGCATTAACTTTAACTTGTGATAAGTATCAATATTATTTTGTTTCTTTATGAAACCTCCTATTTCCACCTACAGATGCATTTAAGTTTACAACTTTCTGGCGTGACGGCACCTTTACATTCAAATTATATTAAAGGTGTGCACACTTTAGCGATTCCTTCCCGTTGCATTTAGTTTCCTTTCAATATAGAATTAGAAGCATTCGATGGAGCTTCCTGACAAGAGGAGACGTCCTAATGAATCAGCTCACTGCCTGCTTCTGGCAACATGCCGGCCACTTCTATTCGCTCCCCTCTACTCCAGGAAGGCAGAACGGGGGTCTGGGACCATGAGGGACGGGGAAAGGAACTTGGTACGCGGAAAAGTTCCATACATACGTGATATCTTGTGATACAAACCAGTCGCCTCCTCCTCCTCTTCCTCCCTGGCTCATTTTCACTCCTTTCTCCTTCCCACTGCCTTTCCAGAAGGACCTGGACGCTTTCTCTCCTCTCCTTCCTCCTGCCTTCTTCTTTTGACGTAAATGAGGCCTAATTGGCTTGGATTAAAAAACGTGGCCTCTGCATGTCGCGTCATCAACGGATAAATTCTCAAAGCTGACCCGGGGGGGTGAAAGGTAACCATCTGAATGTTACGCCCAGCCTCCACGCTCCTCCTCCGCTTAACCCAAACCCAAAGTCTAATTTTATCCCTCAACGTCTTTAGTTACTCGCTAAGATGTCCACACACACGCACACACACGCTCCTCAGCAAGCTGTTGCCTTCTTACTATTGTTAGCAGAGTTCCTTTTCCTGCAGTGTGTTGTTTCTAATTGGACAGCCGGATGAGCCTCATGCTCACACACTCACACAACACACACTCGCACAACACACACTCACACTCCTACAACACACGCACTTCGCCAGGTGGCCGGTTTTTCCGCAAGACTCACCCGTGAGCGCAGGTGAAAAGCTCGGACCATAACGTTTTTTTTTTTTTATTTCCAGCTATTTCAGTTGTGTTTAAATGAACAGGTCGGCATTTTGGGGGAAAAAAACTCTTATTCACTATCTTGCAGTGAGCACGATTATTAGAATATCCAAACCGCATCTAAAGGCAGGAGACTGTTATCTCGGATGAACACGCGTTGACATCAGCATCGGTCTAATGGTGCTCGCTTGTTAACAGTGAATGAAACGATAAAACGATCTTTTCAGCCCTCTCATTTGTGTTTACTTTCTGTCTTTCAGGTAAGCAGGACTACAAAAAGACAAAGTCAGCCTTAAAGGCCACACGGCTGAAAGCTGAAGCCAAGAAGAATTCCTCTGGATTCAAGGTGAGACCGGCCCGGACTCACTTAGGCTGCACGTCTACTGGTCTCCTGTTATTTTTGCCTGCTTGCCGGCGCCGGCCCATCTGTGATTCGAGTTACCTGTGTGTCTGCCAGGCATCTCCTTTGTTGTGTGTCTGCTCTGCCTGAGTCTGTCTCACTCGGTCGGTTCACCACCGCAGCTCTCAGCTCTCTTACAACCTGCGTCAGGTCTTTGGGGAATGTGACAACAACAACCTTCAGTGAAGTGCTGCTTATCCTTTGAAGATCTGTGTTGAAAACCATCATCCTCCATAGAATGAAGTTTAAAATACTGCATCCCGTCTGTCAAAATGAAGAAATAATGAATTCCTGGAAGGATTAGAAGTCGAGAGTTTTGTTATTCTTTTAATGATGAAGAGGAAGAGTCAATAGAGGAGGAGAGAGTGACAGACAAGTTGCAAATATAATGAGTAGCAAAGAAAAGGAATGTTGTAAGACGGAGAGGAGGGAGGGGCAGCGTGTAAGGGGAGGACGTTGTTGCTCGGATAGAAAAGTGCATCCCTCCGTTGTTTGGTCACAACGCACAAATTAGGTGCCGGCAAAGGGGAATGACTCCACACGAGTCCTCGTTCAGTTGGGTCACCAATCCACTGTTTCAAGGCCTCTCCGTGTGGACGAAGCACATGCCGATAAAAGATCTGGTTAATTTAGCCTGAAATCCGCTTGCAGAACGTGCAGAGACAAGAATAACAAGAAATCCGGTCGTCAGGTAAAATTGTTTAAAACATTATTTTTTTTAACACTAAATGAAAATCTGTCGCAGGGAAATATAATTCAGACATTTTGGCAAAAGGCTTCACTGGCTCCTAAGCCTCAGTTGGCACGTAGTACACGGAGATGCACAAATCATAGTGAGGATTAAACGCTGGGTGAACTGGTCAGGTTTTAAAATATGCATCTCTTAGACACGCAAGGCCTCATTAAGCACGTCTTTAATCCAATTAGATTAGTCCATATCTTGAAATATTGATATTGCTCATGAATAATTCAGGTTTTTCCATGCTCAAGACGGAGGTTGGTTTAAAAATACCTCTGGGACGAGTTTATTAAATTGACTTAGACCCTTTGGCCCTGAGTCCGATTGAAATTCCGCCCAAATGTAATGGATATTTGGTCACACTTGCTCTCCCATCGGCTTCTTTTAGCCTTACATAAAGTTCTTCTTTTTTACACTGCTCTTTGATGACAGCCCCCCCCCTCTCTGTCTTTGCCTCTTGTCCTTCGGTTGACAGCAAGGATCCGGCCTGCATCTCTCTTCAGTTCTGTCATCTACTTCCTCCTCTTCCTATTCGCCTTCCTCCTCCTCTTCCTCCCTCTTCCACCGTGTCCCCCGGTTGAGATGCAGGTCTCAGATGCAGCTGGCATCTCAGAAGGAGCAGCAGACATGTGGGCACAGAGAATCTGGCAGCTGCCACGGCAGGCTGTCTAGGGGCCGTCCTAGTAGCAGGGCAGTCTGGGAAAGTTGGCAGCAAAACGGATGGAGGGGCCGAGAGAGAGCGAGAGAGAGGAAGAGGACGAACGTCTGTTCCCACAACAGCGATTAGACGTCGCGCTGAGCAAAACGACCTCAGAAGTTCCGAATGTCAGCCACGCGCAGCGCGTTCGCGTCCGCGTGTCGAGTCGAGGTGCGTTTACGGAGCTCGTTATCGCCTCCGTGCAACTACGGACACGTCTCCTCCTGCCCCGCTCCTCCGGGACCCAGGCGGCGCGGGGTCATCGCAGACCAGATGAATACAACTGGCAGCAAGTGGTCAGCGGCGCCATCTCAGCCTGCCGGTGGAAGCGCACGTGCCTTCGAGGTAGCTGCTGGCTTGCAGCACAGGAAGCGAGCCTGCTGCCTCGTCTAATTGGCACGCCGACCGTCTGTTCGGTCCTGCAGTATTTTCCCTCTGTGTTATTTAGCCGCTGAGCCAAGAAAGTTGGGGAAAACATTGCTTATGGAATTGGCGGAGGATGGATGATAAAGATAATGACTTCCAGCTGTCATTTCTGAATGTATGGAAGGTTCTGTTTTTTTGGTCGTCGAATACTTTCAGTCCCTTTTTGGTTCTTTATAAAATCTGAATACGAGCAGTTGGTTTTGGTGTGGAGAAGCAGCTCTGAGTGTTCATTAGCAAACTGCATGCATTATCTGTGCTCGCCATTAGCTTCACGAGCATCGTTCTCACGTTCTAGCTGGTTAGGAGCGTAGACACGATAGCACCTTTTGTAGGTTTTATGCCATTTCATTTACAGAAAGTTCTATTAAAAGACTCTGTGAGCTGTGATGGCGTTGATAAGACTTTCTCTCTTGCTGGATTTGTTTTTTTTAAGTGTCGCAAAGGCTTCTGAAAGGGCTGTGTGAGAAGATGATTTTAGATATATAGATCTAATTTAAGATAATCGGGGTGCAAAAGGTGAATGCAGGTTTAAACTCATATTTTCGGTTTCATCAGCATAAAGCTGTTTTTTATTTTACTCAAGATGAATGGACAACGGATTGGTCAATTATTTCAATGCGATTGAATTCATTTATATCGAGTTATTTAATTTTACAATTATAATGTTTTGAGCATTGGTCACATAAAACAATTCGCCTTTCATCTCTGGAAACCACTGTGGCTGTTTCCAAGGTGTTGGATCCCCTTTTACAGCCACCAAACCAACAAATATAAATCATCATGTACCACCTGGGGTTGTGTGTAGTGATGCCTCGTCGACATGAGACGTGCTTCTCCGAACCGCAGCGCAAGTACACCAACGGGCACAAACGAGCCGATTCTCTCGCGCGGCACGTAGGCGCATGCCGCTGACGTACACAAACACGCCCGTGCGAGCGCACAAGCAGGAGGAGAATAAAAGCCCGAGCAGATGAGGGGACGTCTGCTGAGCCGTGGCTCGTCGCCAGGGTGACAGGGACCCGGCGGCCAGCTGCCGCCAGCGCTGAGCGAGAGCCACGCGATGAAGAACGGCGCTTACGGCCCCGTCCAGAGGTCTCCATCACAATGTGGGCAGAGACACACACACACACACACACACACACACGCAACACAGCGGGGGACCACTCTCCTCCAAAACAATGATCTCAATCAAGTGCAGGTGCTTCCCACAACCCGAGTGTTATTCCGCCGAAACGCCTCCAGCTCGTGTGCGACCAGCTGGTGTCTTTCTCTCTGGAAGCAGAAGCAGAGAAAGACACCAGCCACCAACAACAACAAGCCGGGTTGCCATTTGTCGCGTCCTTCGTTGTTTGTGCCTAATATGAAATAAATAAAAAAAAAAACGCCTCTCTTTGTTTTTCAAAGCTGTGAGAAAACGCACAAAAAAAAAAAGCGGGGTAAAAACAATCAAGCCTCTGTGATTCGATACCAGCTCTCTTTTCTGCGAGGCCGGGGCAAAATGGGGGGGAAGTAAATCAAGCCGTGCGGAGCCTGGCGGTTAATATATGAAACTAAAGTGCATGAAATTTAAAAGTTTTCAATTTAAGCGAGGACTTAAAGCTTGTGGAGAAAATAAACTTGGGCTGGGGCTAAAAAAACCCAAGGCCCCAACATGTACACAGATAGCGGGGGGGGCGGGGCCCCTTTTTATTTCCCCCCCCCCCCCCCCCCTCCCCGTCGGTTGAAGGAGATTATTACCCCCCCCCCCCAACCACCGCTCGTTTGTGTCGCGCCTTATCTCGCACTTGTTGTCTCTCTCTGACACGTTGTGTCGTCCTGCGTCCGGCCGGCGGGTTGGATTTGCAGTCGTCGTGTTGTGATAAAGGAATGTTTGTGTTTTGTTTGTGTTTCGCTTTCACATCGGTCTTGTTTGCTGCTTTCCCGCTCGCCGTTTAAACTCAGCCTTCCGTAAAAATACGGCACGTATATGTAACTATTGAGTGATTTCCTGAATGATCTAGAAGCAACATTCTGTGTAAATTGTTTGTGTAGAATCACAATAAACAGTCGTATCGTGGCCCTTTTGTTGTTGTGGCCCAGTTTTGCGTGTAACAACTATTTTCCATGTTCAAATCAAATGTTTCTTTTTGAATAACCCCCCCCAATCAGACTGTACTCCTCAACCTTCTAAAGCTCTCCAGGCTCTCCAGTGTTGATTAGAAAGTTTGCTGCTAATGAGTTCTCTTGATAAAGAATAACTGGCATTGTTCAATACGCTGAGTGGCCCTAATGAAACTCCAGCTGATGAAGATTGTAATCGTGCGAGCGTCACGTAATGAACAAGCGCTTCAAATTCCCATTTTCAAGTTGAATGCCACTTCTCTGCAAGGCTTCAATTTGTTTGACAATTAACCAATAGAAGAAGAAAAAAAAAAGAAAAGAAATAGGCCATTTGGTTTAAAAGTTTAACTCAGTAAAACCAGCTGGAAAAGTGGATATTAATTCTAAATTGAATAGACTGAAATACTATGTTGACTCCGGACTGAAATGTGATAATGTGCATTTCAAAGTGTCATTAGTGTGGCACAGTATTGCTTTTTTTGCCTTCATATGCCAACATATTTTCATGTTAATGGTTTAAATACAAGTGTGATGATGAAAGTACACAGTCACAAGTAACCGCTGGTAAACAAGGTATTCTAACACGCCAAGTTAGTCTGGTAACATTCAGATAATTCATAAATAAATATGATAGGAAAAAAAAGAAAGTGGGGACTTGGCAAATCTAGATACAACGTTGGGAAAAGATAAGCACAATGATTACATGATTACCACGCCGACACGTTCAAACAAAGCGCAGTCTCTCCTGTGCAGAGAGACAGACGGTGTATAAATAGAGATCTTAAAAGCGTCTCTTTTTCCCCCCTCAGGATGCATTCCTGGTCATCGCCGCAATCCTCTTCTTTGTCCTCTGCGTCTACGCCTTCTTCTACCTCAACCTGAGCAACGAGATCAACATGGATCTGGATGTGGATTGAGGAGAGGTGGACCCTATGCCAACGCCAGGGCGGAACACGGTCTGTCATGTGACCGAGGACAACAGACCGCAAACTATTGAGGAGAAATGGCGTCCATTGAAGATCTGCACGCACACTAAACGACTATTCCACTCACACTTATTCCACGCGTTTGCATGTGCCTTCCTTATATATTTTTTTCTCCCTGAACCCAGATCTGAAAGAGTAGCTTTGATTCTCTTTCGCCGAAAGGTCAGTGACTCTCGTGCTTGGAGGCGCTTGTGCCTCCGCTAATCACATTCTGCGCAGTCGCGTCTCTCTGTTTTCTTCTCCTATTAGAACAATGTCAAATGTCCTGCTGAACCTCTGGTCGCATTCAGACAAACACTCGCCTCACATTCCAGCGCACAAACCTGCAGTCCGGGGATATCTGGAGATCGCAAAGTGTGAGATTAGAATCCACAAAGCCCTCGCCCTGATTGGAAGTGTGCGCAGAATACGGAACGACACTTTGCACCTGCCGCACACACACGGGCAGCGGAGAGACACACACATGCACGGGATTAGCATTACAAATATCACCCTGTTCTTTCATTAGAGTGGAAATTGCAGAGATGGATGACGACTATCGAGAGCCGAGCCGGCGTGTTTCTCACAAGGAACACCTTGATTCTTTTCCTTGTCTTGTCAAACGTGTCTCTGTATGAAAATGAAGGTCTGTGAAAGCCTCTTCATCTTCTCGCACTAGTGCAACAACGGATCTTCCATTCACCACCTTTTATCCCTATTACTATCAATAGCGATGCTGTCCTCCAGATGCAGAAAAGGTTGATACTGAATACATGGGGACTGTGTTTTTTTTTTTCTTTTAAAAACAAGTCTGTGTGTCTGAGCCCGACTGTGCTCACTGGCTCGGATGAAACGTGAGACCGATTTTGAGCTTTCGGTTTCCGCTCTTTTCTCCCATGACCTGACGACCTCTAGTGAAAGACAACGTGTCCAAGAATCCATTAAGATAAGCATCCACTTGTACTCTCAACCAGCGGCTTTGTTTCTGGCCTCGGTACATCCAGACCCCTCCCTTCGCCGCTGTGGGGCACTCGCAGGCGTAACAATAGACGGGCAAACCTGAGAAACCTTCAGACGTGACACCGGTTATCTCAAAGGTCAACGTTACCAATGACGGCACAAAGGAACGGAGCTCTCAATTCCTACCCACAAAAGTATCGCTAGTGTTTTCTCATGGTATAAAAGTATTTTCACCGTTTGCTTTTCGTCTTACAGATTTGGTTACAGGATATTTTGTAGTATATTGTGATTTATGTTCCTGGTTTTCTTTTTTGTTTAATTGTTCAAAAAATAAAAATCATCATGCATTAAGGGATTAATGCATGAAGAATGCCGAATTGAAATTAAGCTTTTCTGTTTGTGTAGAATTATTGGTTCTTTAATTAAATTATCCCCTAAAGAGGTTTCATGAGCAGAATCCCTTTATAAATTAACACCCTGTTATTTTGCAAAGTTATTAGTGTAATTGCAAATATTTATTGTATAATTTATAGGATCTGGATGGTCAGTGCATAGTTAATATAACACCGTGCCATCGTCTTAACTACCAGTAACGTTTTATACTTTATCCACAAACGTCTATATTTAGCAGTTAAATTAAGTTGTAGTCGTTACTTTAAGTCTTAAAAGTTAATGAATAACCTTCCCACCCTAGTGACAATTTACTTTTACGAGGAATGAACTTGCCATTATTTCTGTTAGATCTCATAAATTCTAAGCTATAAACAAAAGTGTCCCATCAGCAACGGGTTATTAAACTGTCTCGACTGCAGGAATGTCTTCAACGACGCCGCGGCCTTTCCTCCACCGTCCTCAGACCAATGAGCCACGTTGGTGGTGTCGACCAACAGTGATAACGCTTTGCCCCAAATGTGCCCATGCTGCCCTTTCCCACGCTGGGGGGGGGCGTTCTCATACACGTCTGGCTGTTTACCGAGACGTGGATCATAATTGTGACTGCAGGTGGAGCGCGCACGGCACGCTTTGGGGCACGATAGGTTTTCGCCTTTCGTCCTATTTGCTGCAGATATAAACAAAGATAAAGATTTGCATTCTGTCACATTTTCTGTTCGCACGTTGACGCCACATCAACTTACACGCGCGTTGACCCCCGCTTACTGTTTCTAGGACGCCGTTTGCGTCTGTTTCAGTGACCGCATTGTGTGTGTGTGTGTGTGTGTGTGTGAGAGAGGACACGGTGGGGCATGCGCAGCCGCATTCTTCTCGTTCAGAGTGTGTTTGTATTTTCAGTATTCGGCACAGTGCAGTTGGTTGCGCACCAACGGAGCGCTCAGTCTCTGACGGACCGGCGAGGAGGGTCAGTCCCACCAGGAGCTATCACACACACACACACACACACACACACAACTCTACCCGTCACTCCGGCAGGGAGACTCATCACTCTCTCTCTCCCACGGAAACACACACTGCTGTGCTCCCATTAGGGAGATCTGGTGAGAAGACAGGACTGATGGTGCATGTCACAAAGTACTACTGCTAGTCTCACGCAATGATTCCCCTCCCTCATCCTCTCTCTCTGCCTCCCTGCCGTCCCTCTTTATTCTTCTCCAGCTTGTTGATTAGCTGCACATCTTTCACAGCTTCTGCCGTTGTCCTTGAAAGGCGAAACATACGCGTTAATATCATGTCATAAACTGTGGTGCCTACATCCAGAGTTAGACGGCCTTTAAAGACACAGGACGTAAAGGCTTGAACCTGTAACTAAGAACGTACTCTCTTGTTCACAAAGTGAAGTAGAGTAGTGTTGTGTTGTATAGAAATATCCGCCTGCATTGCTTTTCATACGGGTCTTTGTCCTAGAAAAAGCTCTTCCCACCTTTCTACCGCATCACCAGCATGCAGGTATCTGCCGTCTGCACCGTCGCCGCTCGACTTGACTGTAACACTTTGGTGTTTAATTCCCAGCCTGCGTGAGTCTGATATGAATGCATTAGCAGGATTGCGCTGTGCGGTGGATTAGAAACTCCCCAGTGCGTTTGTGAGGTGTGTGGTAATGCCAGACTTAGCGAATCACGTCCTCCCATCGCCGCCTTAATCCCCGATGTGCTGCCTAATGACACCGGGAACGTGAAACTCGGCGGGGCGAGCGGAGGAAGCAAAGGAGAGAGCGACGGGGGAAAAGTTTTGACTCCAAAGTAGTTAGACGGTCTGATGGAAAAGCACGACTTCACGCTGACTGGCGCGCGGGTCGAGGGCTGGATCTTGGATTTGACGGAAATGTGCATTTGTGTGTGTGTGTGTTTACAACTGCTGCATCCGTGACGTTGCGTCGCGAGCGGACAGGGCAGGTGTGCTCGACAGGTGTGCTCGCTGATCCCACCCCCCCCTCTCCGTTCGCCTGCCTGTCCCTCCATGTTTGCACACTCATTGTGTTCTTCATAGAGGAACACCTGGGCTCTGCTGTACCTGGGCTGGTTGCCCAGTCATCTGTCTGACAACAAACACACACACACACACACACACACACACACAGACAGAGTAAGACACTGGAACACAGCCAGTTCCTGTTACAGGCTGAAGCAGGAAGCGGCGGCTGACATCCTATCCGTCCCCGGGAGACTCGAAGCCACTGGGTAAACCATCCGAGGTGGACCCACTCGAGAGCAGAGAGGACGCGTTGAGTGCATTTAGCTTGTATCTGGTCCCGCGATTGCTTTGGGGCATCCATTTGTTTCGCCTTCCAAGAGTGGTTTGTAATGCCGACGAAGGCCGCAGTGTGAACCAGAGATGCCTCAGATAAACTCCTCCTGAATAAGCTTTAGCTGGCAGGCGTCAAACTCGGTCACGGCCCAAACAACACGATCAACACGCAACGTCTTTAGTTAAGTGTCTCTTAATTGGCTGAGATGATGAAAGGACCACACGTAGAATTGTAACGATACTTGCCGCGAGGTTTTATTCAATAACCGCCCTTTAGCGCGTGGAAGACACGGGGAAATGTATGCGAGCGGCGACGCTGTGATTGTCTCAGTGGTCTGCTTTGCCGCGCACCAGCGAGCGTGGGATTACCTGAGGGAATAACACAAACAGGTTGTCTCCAGCTCTATTGGGTGGTGGTTGTTTTTTTTTTACTGAAATCAGGTGATCTCAGACCCCCCCCCCCCCCTCGCTGCGAGTCACTGTTCCAGAGAGTAGGTAAGCACTGACGAGTGCATTCAAGGAGTTTAGCGGCTCACTTGATTGTTTCTCCACCATCAGGCTCTCCAATCACTACCTCGTTTAAAAAATACTTTTGCGATTTCATTGTGTGATACAAGAGTGGCCGCACTTGTTTGGTAAATTGCACTTTAATTGAAATGTTTTCAGATAATCTTGTGTATATAAATGTGTGTATAATATCATGCTGTTAAAGCAGGAATGAAGGTTTTTTTTTATTATCACTGAGGCAGCAGAACAAGCTGTGGTCACAATGTTGATTTATTATCACCTTTTATAAAGTTACCATGTTATCTTCTGTACTCCTGAGTATAATATTGTGCTTTCAGTAGCAAAATGCTGTACTGTTTCACCATCTAGTGACTAACTGCCTCTATCCTTCAGTGCTGAGCTGCAACCGTACTGAACGTGTTTCAGAGCTTCTTTTTTTTTTTTTTTTTACCAAAAACTGCTGGCTGATGAACATTTGTGTGTTTTTTGTTCTTACTTCTCTATGACAAACAATTAGCCGCTCTCGCGAGTTGACCCCGGAGGGGTCACGGGAGCCACGCATTAGTTACATTAGCGTCATTAGCAACATAACCCACATCATTAGCGGCGACGTTTCAACGGGCCGAAGCAAGCAGGCACGTGTGTTGTGACAACAGCGTTCGTGGGAAATGAGACACGGTCGAAAAAGACGGTGGCTATTAATCTTCCTGTTCACCTCTCTATCTGGTATCACATGACACGGGGAGGGGGGGGGTAACGAGCCAGAACGCAGCCGCAGTGTTTGGGCGACCCCTGCGCTCACAAGCTGTACTCTTGTCAGTCGTGTGTGTGTGTGTGTGTGCGTCGTTCATCTCGGTTTTGTGGTTTCCGTCAGGGTTCTAGCTGCTCAATCATTACGTTTCTTTACCTCACCTGAGCGAGTCAACGGTTTCCCTTCGGGGGTGCTGTGAGGGTCATCCAGAGATCGGGGTCTGCTGGACTCGTTCCCCGGAGGCTGAAGGACAGCAGGCACCCCACACACATGCCCTTTCTTTCCTTCTCCCCCTTGTCCTCGTCTCTGTCTGTGTCCCACAGTGGAACACACTGCCCTCTCTATTAGCGCCCCACCAGCCACTCGCTCTCCTCCTCGGCCCCTCGAGCCAGAGGTCACACGGGGTCGGGGCAGATATCATTCAGTCAGAGGAGCATGAGAGGGCCTTCTTTTCTCCTCTTTCACTTCCTTCATCTCTTCACCTCTCTCATTCTAGATTTGCTAGTGAGACGGTGTGCAACGCCCTGATGATGTTTTCATGGCAACCAGAAGCTGAGTTTTCTGTGCCTGTTCTTTTTCCTGCTGTGATACTTGTGAATAAACAAAAAATGTCTAATGATCAAATTTGCATAATCTTTTTAGTTAGAATATGAAATCAATTTTGATATAATACATCTTTACACTACTCACGTCCAATTGACTTCTCTGTAGCACATTGAGCGCATTGTTCTGTGTTTAGCAGATTGTAAAGACTTATGTTGATAAGATGGGAAACATCACAGCAGCTTCAGTGTAGCGAAATAATGATTATGGCATGGACAGTTTATTTTTCATTCGGATCGTAACTACGGGATCCAGATTCTTGTGTGTCTCCACGCCGAGTTGCATACGGAGTGACATGGCGGTTTTACACTGGTCCAAAGGAGAGAAAACAGCCTCCTGTGTTTATTTTCATTCGACTTCTAAATATCATCCTCTAAAACACACAGAGACGCACACAGAGGCTTCCATCTTCTGCTGCAGCAGCTTCACCTGACTTCACCAGCGAGATACTGATCGCTCTCACATATGCACGGTCACATTCTGTATGTTTGTTTGTTTCTTTTTATGCTCATTAAAACCACAATATGCAAACTACATCATGCCGTCCTCACTCGCACTTTGGTTAGCTTCCAAACACTTCACTCATCTTAATTATCTTTCTGCCAAGAATAACCGCAGCGAGTTTGCATAAGAAACCCATCAGAGACTAAGAATGCTCCTGAATCCCAATGTTACATTCTGTTCAGGAGGAATATTAGTTCTCTCCAAATGGGATATTAATTGTTTGTGTCTGAAAGCATCTGAGGAAAGTTACAGTCCACTGCAAATCACATCTGCCTCGATTTTCAGAAAGCACATTTTGTGGCAGCCAATGGTTTCCATTGTTTAAATACGGCATAAGAAATAAGAAACTTTCTTAAACAAAGTAGTGAATATCTATTT